GCTATTGGACGTCAATGGCCGCCATCTTGGATTTTTTTGGCTTCACTTGGCCTATTGCCAAAACATCAGAAGTTCCTACTCCAGATATATATATATAGAGCTCACTGGCATGATCCAACAAAAAACTGTTTAGGGTCGGGAATTCGGCGTCGCTGCACCATATTCGCAGGGCCGCACGGATGTTCGATTCCTGCCTATATATATAGTTGCATTTTTCGCAACTGCTTCTGGTTACTGTAGGTCTTATAAATGTATAAAATTCACACTCGTAATTTCCATCGACAAACCCTTACCCGCAGAGCATTTGTGTTTGTGTGTTGGAAGTTGAAACTGACTTGTATATGTAATAGTTTAAGAAAATAAAGCAGTTCGTACCAGATACGACGGCGCTAAGAATTTAGGGACACTGGACAAACTTGGTACTAGACGCTACTATTCAAAAGTTCTCATCATGACGGCATGATTGGGTAACATGGTTATGGAAATTTTCCTCATTCTGAACAATAATTGGTTTTTTGAAACGCCGGTTGGGGAACGTGCGCAAGCCATGACATAATTTGACAGAAAAGACGTGATACAGCATGTGTCATTGCTCCAAAGACAGTATATTGACACCCATCAGCTAAGATACTTTTACATTCCCAGGCCGGTTGTACAGTACGAAAGGCCAGATAGCGCTATCCACAGGAATTGTCAGTGATTCTTTTCAAGCTTTCTTACTTTGGCTGTTAATTGGTATAACTCAGATGAAAGTTTAAGTTTTTATATACGTTAAAGATTGTTATACTTCTTTTGAGGTTCGTATCCGTAGTTTACTTTTCAAGCATTTCACAAAGGTTGAAGTAATCAATTTCCGACGTTGGATAGCGCTATCTGGCCTTACTGTACAACCATGTATAGGAGGCTTGTACAACCATAGTGCACATTCAATCATATATACGTAGGAGCAGGGCCGCCGGGAGGTTGCGCGGGTTCTGGGGCAACATTAGTGAGCTTAAGCGACGTTTTTGTCATCACGGACGTCACCCGAACATTGGTATAGCTAAATTTGGCGGCATTTTGCATCATAGCGCTCGTGTTAAGGCCGTTTCCACTAGGCTGAATTTTCCGCGCGAAGCGGAATTTCTCTTTGTCTTTTCCTTTCCTTTTAGTTCCACCCGAGAAATCACAAGACAAAAAAAATTCCGCTCCACACGGAAAATTCCGCCTAGTGCGAAACTGCTTTTAGGAAGCAAATCTGATGTTTTGCCAAATGTGTTGAAGATTGATACCGCAAACTCATGCAAACACAGTTTTTGATCCAGTCCTCCCTCGGCAATCTGACGTCCGTGTTGACAAAACATATCTTGCTTATTTTTCCATACATAATTCGGTAAAACAGGAGAAGCGGTACGTGTTACTCTGAGTGTATATCCACACCGGGCAGGCTGAAAAGTTAGCCTGACCATGGTGGGAATCGAACCCGCGACCTTTGGGATACTAGTCCAACGCTCTGCCAACTGAGCTACGAGGCCAAGTCTGTTCGAGTGTGTGGTATTTCGGAACTAAGTCTATTACCTTCGATACCAATGTATTCTATGATATGATATTAAAAATATGATATGAAAAATATATCAAAGAATACATTGGTATCGAAGGTACTAGACTTTGTTCCGAAATATCACACACTCGAACAGACTTGGCCTCGTAGCTCAGATGTCAGAGCATTGGACTACAGGGATGGAAATAACGGCCGGTGACCAGTAATTACCGGCCAAATTTAAATAAATCACCGGCCAAATAGATATGTCAATAGTAAAGTAATCGCAAACAGGTTTCTGGAAAATTGCATAGAAATAAAGAAGTTTGGTCATTACGAGTCTCAGGGAATTAAACGGAATTATGTACAGTACATACCAAATCAATTAATTTTAACAAGGGTTTCATTACATATTGATTTTTTAATAAGTGTCTTGAACAATTATTGATAGTGATAGTCCATAGGACTTGAGGAGGAGGAGGCAGTAGGGATTTCTAATGCAGCTTCCCCCCCCCCCCCCCCCCCCCATCACCACTGATGATGCCATGATTTTTTGCTTTTAAAAAAACACCGGTCAAATATTTCGCCTTGTCAAATTTTTAAAAATTACCGGTCAAATTCGTTTCCCTTATTTCCATCCCTGGGACTAGTATCCCAAAGGTCGCGGGTTTGATTCCCACCGTGGTCAGGTGGTGTGCTCGGTCCTGCCCAGTGTGGACCGGTCCTGCCCGGTGTGGATATACACTCAGAGTAACATCAAAAACATATTCACCTGAGTACATAACACCAAAAACACACACAAGGAGAAGCGGTGTTTTATATTATCCGGCACTGACGCAGCTATATGATTTATATTCTCGATTAAGCAGTGAAGTATCAAGAGAATTTAGTGCACTTCGTCGCTGCAGGGTCCCTTTTGAGCTGGAGGCCCGGGAAAAATGCCCCCCTCCGCACATAGGCGTGCAATGAGATGCACTCCGATCCGGACTTGCGGAAGATCCACGGTACCCGCCGGACGCACAGCAAACGCAAAATATTAGTGGGGCGACATTCAGTGTTGAAACAATTTCTGAATTAAAGCTGAGTTACTGTATATACAATTTCCAAGTTAATATCATAACTGAGTTCATGATAATTGATCTATTTTAGGCAGCTATCCATTGCATTTAGCTGCGTGGAATGGTCATGCTGATGTTGTGGAACTCTTACTTAACCGTGGACCTTCTCGTGCCAATGTCAATGAACAGGTATATACTGTACCTTTATTGTCAAACACTGATTTCACTATATATATATTCAACATGACATGAGTTGCTGGATGAGGTTTTTGTGATATCCGAAACAATTGAGGCGAGACTGATAATACTTACCGAGAGCTTGATCATTCAGGATATCACAAAAACCGAATTCAGTAACTGTTTTATTATATACATTAATTGCATTTCTATTAACTCTTTCGACAGACAATGATTTGTCGCACAAAACAACGTTTGATTTTCAAAAAAAGCAGTGAAAACGATTCAAAATATCACAATAACAGCATAAAAATAATAGAAAACTCATCTACCTACCAGACTAAAGTTCCAATAAAAATGTCAAAAAGGTTTCCACATTCACAAAAACGCCGTTCGTTCATGTTGTTTTTTCTTGTTTTTATTCTTGTATTAGAACTGCCGCTCGCTGTAAAATTACATACCGCTGGCTCAACGTACACGTAACTCAGTTATCTGTTAGCTATTAACCAATCAAAACACATGCAGCGACTATATATATATAATGTATAATAATACCCAGACTCTATACCTATTTCCTCTATTTAGCCCCCAGCCTATATATATATATATATATATATATATACGTTCTATGTTCAAAACAAGAAACCTTTCCCTTAAAGGATTAGTGTCAGGGTCATGCATTGCAGGCTTTTGTTATTGTTTACATTCTACTCAAATACAACAAATAGCAATAAAAATACCTTGTTTGGTACATTTCTGATAAAAATCAGAAAAAAGAGCAAGGGTTATAAAAGGATGGTTTAAATATATGACGGATGGTAAAAACTTTCCAGATCATCTAATCTATTCGTCCCGAAAAAAATGGCCGCCAGCAGGAATTTGAGCCCGCGAATTCCTGGTGTGACACTAATCCTTTAACATTTCTGCCCAAAGGAAGAAATAATATTTTAGGTTATAATTTCGAGAAATAACAGGCGATTGTCTATATGCTATACCAGCTTCTATTAATGGGAATTCTGAAATTTATGGTAGGCCTAACTTATATTCTCCTATTATGTGAACGCTAACGATGATTCTGTAAACTGATATTTTTTTAAAGAACGTGAAAATTCATTTATCTCGCAGCCTCATTTATCCCTCCCTTCTAATAATCCCCCAGTCCAGACCTTGTTCACATTTTATAACATTTGATAACTTCGAATTTAGAACAACAACAACGAGACCGCATTACATCTGGCTTGTCAGTATGGTCATAACAAAGTGATTGTTGTTCTTCTAGAGGTAATTAAACAATAGATATAAGGGACCGGTCATAAAATAACTGCTAGGGTGGGCCGGAGGGAAAAATAGGTTTTCCAAAAACTTATTTTTGGCCCATCCTGAGAACCTAGAAAAAATTTCAAAGCCCATCGTAGGTTATTGGAAAAATTTCACGACCCATCCTGCTATACATGAATATGCATGCACAGTATAGCAGTCACTTTGATCAAACCATGCACTGAATTTACTAGTTATAGTATCCATTGAGTGTAAACAGGCTATATGTTTTTCATGGCCCATCCATTTGCATAAAAAACAAATTGATTGCCCACCCAAACTGATGAAAATAAGTTCATGGCCCATACTTATTTCCTCCGGCCCATCCTAGCAGCTGTACTTTATGACCGCTCCCTATAAGATAGCATATGATGCGAAATATAGATGAGGAGAAACAGGAAGGTTCTTAAAAACGAGAAAGTCCGAACATGTCAGAAATGTTAAACAAGGCGAGAAAGGATCGAAATTCACACAAAATGGTTTTAGATCTATTGTAAATATATGTTTAAGAAACGTTTTCTGGCTGTAAATATTTATTTGTTATATATTACAAGCTTTCGGCTGTCAGTCTATATATAGCCTTCGATATACGAAGAATTGTCGAAGGACGCTAAACTTAAGTATATAGGTGGTATGAAAGCTGAAACTATTACTATGCTCCATATAATACAATAAAGGAAATATGAATATATAATTAAAGGTGATGTAAAGTCCGTAATGTAAACAAACGCTTTGTTTACATTTTGAACTCAGTGCTACAGTTGTAAAATATGATTAGATATATATTATACTGAATTTTTAACACTTTTCTGGTTCGTTATGCTTGTAAATGAATACAGACTAGAGATTCAATTCAAGAAAGTTCGGAAGGTGCGAAATATTAACAACATTCCAAAGGTTGCTCCCCCAATGATGGAATGTTTTGATGCGCAGAATATATGCGCAGAACGGACTTTACCGCATCTTTAAGAGGAGAATCTTTTGTATGTTACGTAACATGCGCTCAAAACTGATGCTTCTCCACTTGCTCATATATGACTATATTCAAATTTGAATTGATTTTTGATACGTTTCTCAAGGGGCAAACAAACTTAAAAAGTACAGGGGGTGAACATTAAAAAGTGCCTCCCATGCACCCAGGCATAAAAGATGGGATATATAATAATATATATATTATACCTATACGTTTTGTCCAATGAAAAAACATCATTTGTACCACGTGACAATGTAATTTTTTACGGTATTTCACTCAAATTCATGATTTCGCAATGCAGCGTGAGATACTATAATACCCCACGGTAGATCCACCGTGGGATATTATAGTATCTCACGCTCACGCGCGTGACGCGTGGACACCTCGCTCTGAAAAAAATTGTTTCATGTGCGCAGTCGTATCGCCAGGATACTGAATGGCTATAATGTAGTTCAGTAAATTATAGTATTTTTATAATAACGAATTAAGATATGCGCTCCCCAAGCCACTATCACTATAAATCATTATATACTGGTAAAGCTATATTGTAATCTTTCCATAACCGTTTTCACAATTTGATGCAAACGTAAATTAGTAAATTTCTGATTCAATTCCGCCTTCTTGAGTAGTTTTGAGAAAAACTCTCTAAACGTATCTATTTTTCTAATCCTTGACTTGAAATCACAATTTTTATTCACACATGCATACACAAAACTAAACAAGTAAGTTAAAAACACAACTTTTGTTAAGATTTTCTTTACTTATATGTGATAAATAATATAATATAATGTAAAAGAAATTTACACATTAAATAGCTACTAAGCTCATAGTAGAAAATAAACATGGTTTGGAAGCTTGACAAAAGTCATTGTTCTATGTTTTTGTCCAAGTTTATGGAAATTTGTGCACTCGGATTCTGTATGATGAGGCGATTACATAATAAAAACCTTAGTTTCAATCGCTGAACCATAATATTTGAATATTAATAAACGCAAGACAAAAGATGTGTGCACTCGGAATTACATTTCAACATCAGTTGAAGTTTGCCAATACGAAATTCTTTGAAGTTTACCGGCCTTCCTAACCATGTTTATTTCTATTAACTATACATGCTAAGCTAAATTACAATGTTCTACAAATACAGTTTTTACTGTTTTTAAAAATTGATTAAGAATGAAATAAGAACTCTTTATTATATTATCTTATACTATAAAAAACCCATGCAAGATTGGTAAGATTTTCGAACCTAAGAGTTAGCTAAGCTAAGAGTTATGAAGAGTTAAATTGTACTTATTTATTGCATAAATGATAGGACTCTGACTAAATCGTTTAGTTCTGCACGCATAATTATAATATTCTAAGCCGTTTGTCCTCGTCTCCCCCTCTCTTAATTGTGAAACCTTCATTGGGAGAAGATGGTGAAGTTTTTTGTCGGGGTTTGGCATTTTCTTAATCATTTCAACACACATA